ACTTGTTCACTCAAATCTAGGAGTCAATTGGTAATGTGTACCTATAGATAGTTCTCAAAGTAAATGAGCAAAAGCGTAACATTTGTATGTAGCATGCTTCATAAAACACTAAACTTAGCCCAAAAAGTAAGCGTGCATTTTGTTCCTGGCACTGATTGGTTAATAAGTGAATACAATTCGTTGAATGCACGATGCACTCAAAAGATTAGCAGCTGGGAAAGGCTATTAAACAAAAAGTACGCTTTCGTACTCAAAAAAGGATTACCCTTTTACAACTTTGACAACTTTGAAGCATGAACTTCGGAAGATCTAACGAAATGTACTTACTGTTACCCTGTGGATCCCAGGGTTTTGATATGTTCTACAAAGTCATGCAAAGACAGACCATATATGCACTAAAAATATCTGTGACACTTGTATGATATGTATTCCACTTTGAACCACCATCTATTTCAATATTGTGAAAATACATATTTCCCAAATTATGAAATAAAGGAGCTTGTATTCGCGAATGCCGCTAACGCCTGTCGGCTACCGGATAAACCTACTTTACTATTTTATGGGCAATTCATTAAAATATTAATGGAATATTGTCAGGTTCTTTTCATATTTAAATGAGTCGCCCATAGAATGGTAGGTTAATCCGGAAGCTGAAATCTTCCATTCCCAAATCATAGTCTTAGCTTGTATTCGCAAATGCAACTAACGCCTGTCGGCTACCGGATTAACCTATTATTTTACTGGAAACTCATGTCAATACGAATAGTACCTGCCACTATTCCATTCATATTTAAATGACTTGGTCATATTATACTGGGTTAATCAGGTAGCCGGAAGGCGTTAGTTGCATTCGCGAATATAAGGTTAGCTTGTATTCAATAATGCAAGAAACGCCTGTCGGCTACCGGATTAAACTACCTCTGGAGACATCGGGATTTTAAAGCGGCGTGCAAAGCGTAATCGGGTACACCCCAGTTCTCCGAAACCCAGTTGTCCGAAACCCATTACTCCGAAAAATAAAGTCATAATTTACCAGAGAAAGCGGGGGGCGTAGCTTACTTAAACTTACGTCAGTTTCATGCCATGTATTTGGCCAAATTAATGGCATGGACGCATTCTGTTATTCATAGATCTCTCTCTCACTTTGAATTGCATCCATTGCATGGCGTTACCAGAATGGCAGGAACGGGAGATTTATTTTACATTGTGATTCTAAAAAAAAGGTTATTAAAACACAATATATATTACGGAACAGTTTATCTTATCTTCTTCAATCTCTTTTATATAGGCAAAATAAAATGAAACATTTTGAAACAGATAAAATAATTTATCGCATAGAACTTTAAGAATAAAACAGTATACAAATTACGTTGTCAAAATATTTCGTCGCATTTAATTTCTTAGTCTCGGTCTCTTATCAAATCGTAAAAGAATAAAACATTCTATACTTAATCACTTGGGATTTATGTTTCGGCATTCGTTTCAGGCATTTGTTTTTTATGTTCTTCTCCTGAAATGTATTTGTTTGACAATAATCAGAGAAAGTGCGTATACGTATAAATATGCCACGCAAACAAACGGGTGTGACTTCAATTTCATGTCTGTCTGAGGACGTATTGGGAACGAGGTAGAATTAAAGAATTCTTATGAACGAGTCATGCAAGATACTAGAACTAGTAAAGTAATGTAAATGGATAAGTTAATTTCTGATGGATCTGGATATAATATATTTCAAAACTTTGTAAACACTAGATAACTTCATTTAGGCAGATATAGTATCTTGATATATTTGGCTATTATGCGTTTAAAATACGTTCCTAAAACTATGAAGACGTTAGGTGAGAAATATTGCTATTGTACGTTCGAAAAGTATTTGGTTGTATTTTGTAGTTCTCAAGTTACCCATGAACTTTCGTGGGCTAATTAACGTCTTGACTTAGCATATTTAGCCTAATTTTGCAATGATGTCAACGTGATTCAAATGTTATGCTGTCGTGATTCGCAGAGGTTGCGACAAGATTCGTTTTACAACAGATGTAACTATGAGAACATGAAAGCTCATAATCCTGATTATGCAACCTTATACAATCGTTATCTTTGGGACAAGAGCCCAAAAACAAGGTACTCGTGAACGAGAGTTGAATTTGCTCCGTGAACGATAGGATACGCTGTTCCCCAACAACAAAATACAGACATATGCTTCAGTGTCCTCAACGCAGATTGTAGAGAACAAGAGAAAAAATGAAATATACTTTGCCATAACAGAATACTGTTAAAGTATTGTTTATTAAGTTTATTAAGTTTCACAAATAACTTTTAAATGCCTTCTTTACCGTCAACGGACACTCAAATAAATACACAATACAATGCAATGCAATGTAATACAACGCATTACAATACAAACTAAATTAGAGTATTTGTGCATAGCATTTTCCCCTTTTGTTTGAAGGATATTTTAAGAATAATTCCAGCGTTCGTACACACCTGGAAATGTCAGGGTTTTGATTTAATTTTCCAAGTGCCTGAAATGTCAGAGAATTTTAAAATAAGGTCAAAAAGGGCCAAAGAGTCCGGGAATTTTGAAACTGTAGACATGTCATGGAAATGTCAGGGAAATTTGTATCAGTGTTGAAAAAATGATGTTCCAGAAAAATAAATTTTAGGACTATGACAGGATCTCAATGAAATCCAAAATGTAACATTTAGTTGATTCCACACGGGGCGTGTACATTGTCTAACATATATCTAAAAGGTTTACACTGTCTTGATTAATGAACTTCTTAGATCTAGTCGCGCTTCAGAAGTGGAAATCCTTCAATTATCAGAGGTTAATGTTTCTAAAACTGTATTGAAATAAACGTACCTCTTGTTTTCAAACCTACACCTTGCTCCTTTCTGTCGTATTAATAAAGCAAAAATAACATATCACGGTGGGATACGAACCACTCGCCTGGGATTTGGTTATTCACTAACACCATAGGCGTTCACCTATTCTGGATACAACTGACGAGTTGTATCTAAGTGGAGTCAAAAGCGAAGATCATTCTAAATTGACGCTCGGTATAAATATATGATACTTTTATCATCTCACACAGGTGAACGTTAGCCTCATGGCTAGCGTGTTTAGCTTCCACTCTCTAGGTTAGTCGATCGAAACCCGTTCATGGCGAACTTTTTGATTTGCTTGCTGTCAACTTATAATAAGTAGGGCAAAATCCAGAAAAAGTAGATCAAAAATACTCCAATGGAGTATAAAATTGTCACCAGGATTCCGAAATGAGACGAATGTTAACACGTTAAATCTCGGTAGATAAAGTAGGTCAGAAAATCCGGATTAATCCGAACTGATTCGGGAATCTTCGTCATAAGAAGTAGATCAAAAATCCAGAGAAGTAGATCAAAAATACTCCAATGGAGTATAAAATTGTCACCAGGATTCCGAAATGAGCCGAATGTAAACTCGTTAAATCTCGGTAGATGAAGTAGGTCAGAAAATCCGGATTAATCCGAACAAGGTTCGGGAATCTTCGTAATAAGAAGTAGATTAAAAATACTCCCAATGGAGTATAAAATTGTCCCCAATATTCCGAAATACGACGAATCGAATCGGCAAACTTCGGTAAAATAATGAAGTGCATAAAAACCGAAATGATCCGATGAACGTTCGGATAAAATCGTGAAACAGGTGTCAGGGGTTTCCCCTCATCTTTCCCCACATTGTTCTAAAAGCCTTATATGGATTTATCACGTAACATTCAAAATGACGTTCCTATATGGTTCTATGGGTTCGAACACGTGACCAAATATACCAAATAAAATTTTTACCTTGACCACTGGATGGGATTTCATAGAAAATATCCAAGAAAACCTATCCTCGTGATCCTTAAATCACTTAAATTCGATCATTTTATTTTCACCCCTTGATGGAATTTTATGAAAGAAGTCATGAAAACACATCATCATGTAAGGGTTTTCACCTAAATTAGCTCGTTTTATCTTGAGCCTTCAATTGAATTTCTTGAAGAAATATTTTTTGAAAAAATATCATCATGTTATGATTTGTATTTAAATAAGACCGTTTCATCTAAATACTTGGATAATATTTCATAAAAAATGCACTTTAAAATTTTTCAGAATTTGCCTTAATTTATCAATGTAATGAAAGTATAAGATTAACTCTCAAATAGCGTTCTATTTTAACCTTTTTATTGAAATCAATACAGGACTCGCTCTCTAAATATCCAATAAAAATTCAACCCTTGGATGTGATTTCGTTGGAAAAAAAATATGTCAAGTCCAGAATCAAATGATTTGTCCAGAACCTCTTAAGATCCTGTTTGATGTACAAATGTGTAAAATATCAAGGAGTTATTTTAAAAGTGACAAAGATATGAGGATAATGGTGTAAGGGTTTCAGTTTTTCTTTACCACCATTTATAAGTGCTAAAGACGAAAAAAGTCGAATATTGTTATTATTCAATTTCGCGTCCAATGAGATTTCGCGAAAACTGCTATTTTTGAAAGTGCGCAAGTTCAGTTATAGAAAATAAGCTTTTATGTTGATTCTTGATTTATTTGGAAAGTAATAGGTTATTCTTTGAGGATATATAGGAAACGTTTTCAAAGAAAATTGACGATTTATCACAATATGTCGATAAATGTCAACCTATAGGTCACGTTAAACTAGATTAAAAACAATACATTTCTGAAGAGGTAATTAAATAAGTTTACAACAATACCAACAATAATGAATCGGATAAGTAATGAAAAATCGCAGACCCCCTTGTGACTTAGTGTTTTTTGGCAAAAATTTGGCAGACATTAGGGTTAATGTTTTTTAAATTATTAAAAAATAAAATACGAAGTTATCAATGATACATCTTTACTTTTAATTAGTTATCTGAATGCAATTAAGTTGTACTGTATGCCAATTGTAAAAATAGATGGTATATTGTTCAATGTAATTTACGAATATAGAAGACATTTTTAATTTCACTTACAGTTTCTTTTTAGCCATTTTGGTACGGCAAAAACGCTTGACAACACCATAAGAATAATGCAGCATATTCGAAAATCCATCTTACTGCCAATGTCGCACAAAACGCAACGCGGATGTCGATGTCGACGCTGTTTATGACAATGTTTTTTTTAAAGTATAATGGTTTCATTTTGCAATGCAATAAAATGAGAATATGTTTAATAACAATTATGCTTGATGTACAACTATTGTGGAGAGATTGAGCCATAAAAATGAAACATTGAATAGATTAATTGAAAATGGAACTTTTTTATAGACCATTGCATTTGTTGTTTTGAAACAGTAATGTGCCATTTACCTTTTTGCATGAAACCCACTCATTTAATCTATCTAAATACATACATTTCTGAAATATCCGACACAGGTAGTGTAGAATAAAATAATAATGCTAATATCGAAAGATAACGTCAATTACAACATAATGTCTTCTAGTAAGCGATGATACAGATCAAAATAATTCTTGCGAAAAACCGTATCCTTCCCTAATAGTATTATATAATACAGTGTACTTTCATTTGTTGGTATGACACGGGCGAACTTAACAACATTAGGCCGCATTTTTGTGCTACCCCATTGGTTGGTTATCATCGGGCGACGGTAACACAATTTTCCGGGCGGATACTAATACAGGCGCGCGATTTCTATTGGTTAAAATCAATCGCAGGAACAAAAAACATTCGCGTGGAAAACATGAATTATTTGCGCGATTGTTCGCGCGGTTCTGGCGGCGATACCGCGTCATAGTACTAGTACCAAACTAACGCACCGTCCTAGCAGCAAGCCCTATTACTATATCGTCTACTATACCTTCGTACTGCATCCTCGTTTCATAGCCTCAACTCATAGTGTAGTAAATTAGTACATGTACAGTATCTTACCCTAGTATCATACCATGTACAATATCTTTGTACCTGTATTTTTTTCAATATCCCAGTTCTATATACCAGCATCATACCTATGCAATACACAGTACCAAAAATTAGTACCATACCCTAGTACCCTACCCTAGTACAGTTCCCCAGGACCATACATTAGCACCATACCCTGGTATAGTTCCCTAATACCACATCCTAGTGCAATTCCCTAGTACCATACCTTTAGTACCACACCGTAGAACCAAACCCTGGTACCATAGCCTAGTATCAGTCCCTAATACAGAATCCTAGTACAATACGCTAGTACTGTAGATATGACTTTCGTTAAGTTTTGCTTATCATACAGCATTATTTTTGGCAAAAATGGCAACTAAAAATAAGAAAAAATGTCATCGACTTTTTTTGTGTGTATATGATGTGCATTTTCTAACTATATACATTTACCTTCTTCTAAGGTCACTGTATCGTGGCCTTCGTCCAAAGATAAATCCCTGCATGTCTTTTACTGCTGTATACGGGTCATGTCGTAATCATAAAATTTGAAATCAAATGTTCGCCATTTTTCCACATCACAATTTGAATTGCCAGTTTTGGTCTTATTACCTCACCAAAAATTCCAAAACACACATGAAGTTTACATCTTTTTGATCGCTAACTTAGAATTTACAGCCAATTACTAATGTCAGACAATAACCACATTTCGTCCAGTTTTCGAATATTGTCATTTTTCTTGGATCCGTTTATTTTAATTTTAAACAAAATCCTGACGAAATCATGAAATATCTAATCAAGGAGCCCAGCCAGTTCCATTTTAATTCATGATTCATTTATCTGTCGATTTTAAAAATATTTAATAAATTTATAAAACGACGGCAAGCTTTTTTCAAATGGTTCACGGTGTTCCTGATGATATTACTTCTATCCAAGAATTGGCTAGAGTAAATATACATTACACTTTCTATAAAATCAACAAACACGAACTAGTACTATACCACGAATGCCATGTATTTCTCATAAAAGTCATAAAAGTATTCATATATATAATAAAGAATCTCATAATTGTTTCATTTTTATGTGTACCGCACACTATGCTAGTCCTTGTCATATTTTACATCATCATATTGCCTGCCTCGATGCTTCCTCTGCAATTTAAGATGGGCATCTATTTGAGCGAAGAATTCGGTTTGGAGTCCTTGGTTTGTTACTCGCTATATTTCCAATCATACCCGTCCATGCCCTATAAATTAAGATATACGTTGATCATGATTACAAAAAAAGTATTCGATTGCAAAAATACCATTTTACTCAAGGTGAATTCCACGTTTGTGTGTGTTTGAATTATATCAAATAATGTTTATTATTTAGCGAATGAATCGGTATTTTAAAAACAAAATGATCAGATTTCAAATAATTATAAATTGCCTTTCAAAACAGGATACTTACATTTAAGTATAAGCAAATATCAAATGATGCTAGAATGAGTACATGACTTACCTGACTAAAAGTTAACAATTCCTAATACATAGAGGCCTGTGCCAAATTAAAATAAAAAATAGTTATACTTACCCATTTATCAAATAATCTTCAATCTGCGCTATTGATGCTGTTGGATGGCGGCTCAGAAAACACGCTGCTACGCCAGCCTGGCCAAAAATAGTTTTCATTACATACGGAGTGACATTGTTTACACAATCGTTAATACGTATGAACTATTTCATGTGATTTAGTGTAACAATGTTAACTTTAAAGTCATTGGATTTGCCCAAAAATTGAGCCACCTTGCAATTTGTAAAATATGACTTTAGGCTTTGAATATTTTAATATTTGGTAGAATAGAGTAGAACAAGGATGCATCGACAAGCGGATTGGCAAAAAAACATTAAAAATTGTGTAAACTAAGTTCAGGGTTAGTGGAAGTTATCTTATGACAAGCACATGTCATAAGATATGTCATAAGCGAATGCAACTAACGCCTGTCGGCTTCCGGTCTAACCTACTATTTTATGGGTAACTCATTTAAATATGAATAGTGCCTGTCACTTTTCCATTCATATTAAAATGAGTTGGTCATCAAATAGTAGGCTAATCCAATAGCTGACATGCGTCAATTGCATTCGCGGATACATGGTTATAGTAACGGACTAAGTAAACTCTAATCGGACGATTGTTTTATGTGAGAAAATTACATGCATTTGTATTGGGCGATTTATGGTGCAGGTTTCCGTTTCGATTTTATATGCATTGCTTAAAGTCTCCAGTGAGTCGCATTGAGGCTGTTCAGTCATAATTAGGTTATTATGGACAACCTTACTATTCGGGTTGAGGATGGAGCTGGACATCTTAAGTTGAAAGTCATCTGCGCAAATATTCAGTAACGCCATGCTCGGGTATTTCTCAAAAGTGAAACCAGTCTAGCTAGTTTTTGTTTGCCCATCTTATAGAAGACTAGGCAAGTGGTATTTATAAACAACTTATCTCCCGATAATAAGATGGTATACTTACTACATGGGGCGCTGCCATAGATGTTCCTAAAATAAGTGATAAAATGCGATAAACTTGAATATTGATTATATTCTATCTAAGAGTATTTACTTGCAATTTCATTGATATACGTAATATTCGAAATTCGACGATAGTAATTGCATGATGTCATCTAGAACGTTCTGTACCACCAATGTATTGCGCGGTCAATAAATAGTCAATATTATAAACCACTATATTATCAATTAGAATGAAAAATATACCACTGACTTTGGAAAATACTAATTTTAGAGATGAGAATAATCAATAATTTGTTTTAGACATTGTTGAATATACCTGACAATTCGCCATAACTGTTATGTTTGTTTCTTGTCGAACTTCTTATTTTATCACCCTAGAAATACACAGGTCTGGTGTTGTACTTCGTTGGTTATTTCGTCGATAGTATAGAGACAATAAATGCAGAATTTTAATTCTTCATGACTATTTGAATAATTGAAATACGTAAACTATTGTTTTTTGAGTTTTGATGGTACACGTGATAGTAGACTACAGTAATATATTCATATTAGATGAAATCGAACTATCATTTCCTTATTTCATTTCAACTGTGTCGCAGTGTAGAGCTACATCAAAACCAAACAGCTAACTGAAGACAATTGTACTACACTATGAGCGGTAGCGACTTGAGATTACAGACATGAAGAATTACATGAAAAGAGACTTCTATTGAACCAATGGTATCGGCCATTTTGGCACTAGAGGCGCTGTAGTTTTCGCGCATGCGTATTATGTTACTCATGACCCACCACCCATTGACATTACCATTGTTTTTATTTTAGTATGACCTCAATGGTATTATTTCTCGCGCATGCCAAGGATGCGTCTATTACATACAGGCCCTATAGCAGCGGAATGAGGTCTAGGCAAGATTCTTGGAGTACTATCAAACCTATTTCTTCAGGTCAGCTCTATAACTTACAGGTGCTGCAATATCAATGCCGGCACCATAATTGGAATTTTCACTCAGGTTATCATCCTTCTTCACATTAGCCACGGTGAACCTAAAACAAGACGGTAACTATTCTAGGACAGTTACCGAAAATGACCGAAGATCTGACTCTAAAACTTCAAGAAATTTGATTGGTTCCTTGAAGCACCTTCGGCAATCTTCGTGATATAAACATCTTCGGTTCCGGTCCATTGCTGCTCTCCCACAACGATGCATGTAGGATATTACTTATTCACATTTATTTACAATAAAAATAGATTATATCGAATATTTAGTTCTGCAGGACTCTATTTGCGGAAGAACGTTTCGTTTGCTTTCATCCAACGTTGCAGCTAAAACAAAGGACGAATTTTAAATCAATGTTGAAAATAATGCATTTTTAATTAATACTTTTGACCAATCATAGAACAGTGATCAATCTTTGTCATTTAATTTCTTTATTCAATTATTTTGTTTAATTAGTTAAACGTTGTAAAAATGTGAAAACAATAAGAAGTGTGTGTGTGTTACTTTATGTTTTGCAATAACTGAAATTTTGTTAACATTAAATATGTGAATACTCAGAAACATAGCATTGCTATTATATAGTTCAAATTGATCATCCGACCCACCCTTTATACAAAAATATGAACTGTTTTAAATGCGTCCCCATAACTAGTATCAAACACAATTACTACATACACTTTTGGTTCTCGCGCAGGTGACAATGTATCCCATAGACTATCTGAATTACCAGCAGCGACAGTCACAAAGATACCCTGAAATATAAAATCAAAAAGTCTTTGTGATAATATGTGCCAAATAACACCCTGACTGACACTATCCTGCCAATCATAACCAATGAAGATAATTCACTGTTTATACATTATTTTGATGAACCAATATAATAGTATATAGTAATCATAATTATATAAAACAAATGTGAAGCGAAATAAATTAAAAGCAAATGTAAACACTTGCAAATGTAAGTTACAAATAAAATCACATTTTCTACAGCTTTTTTTACTGCTTCGTCCATTTTGTCACTTTTTGATCCACCAAGGGACAGGCTAAAAATAAGCAAACATAAAATTTATACATTTTTGTTAAATTTAAACATTTCAAACTACTTTAAGTTTTATGACTATTTATCTTTGGCAATTGAAATCATTAACGTTATCAGAACAAATGAAATTAAGAAAAAAATCAAAATCAAAATGTGTGCGATGCTTTTCGATAAAACTCATAAATGTTAAAATGATTTGGAGAAGTGCAGTTATTTGACTCAGTTGTGTATTCAGTGTATTTCAGATAAGCAGAGAAATGTATTAAGATATGATAATTATTTTTAATCACTTACTTCAGTACTGAAGGCTTTTTCCGAGTTCCCTTTAGCTCAATGGCTTTGTCTATTGCCGCTATCACATCACTAAAAAGCAGAAGAAAGATTGCGATTGCATGTAAAATTGACTTATACAACAGTGTGTCCAAAAATTCAAAATACATTGTTGAGAAGGATTTGAGGAATGAGCTTTATCAATGTATCCATAACAAAAAAATGTAATATACATTTAAAAAACCATGATCAACCTTGTGTATCAACACCAACATATATTTCATTTTGAGAATCTATTCCCAAATGATGGATTACCTATTGTATCCAGACCCCCACTCGTCGAGAACTTTAAATGGTATTATTGTTGCTTTCTTTGCCACACCAGATTGTTTTCCAGCTGCAATACCTACGGCACAATACGATAATAAAATATAAAAATCAATTCTATATCTATGGTTAGCCCCATATTTTGTTATACATATTTGAACGAAATGAGATGGATTGCATTTGTTTTTCCATTCACTTTATGGTAAAAACGATTATCAGCTTATGGCAAAATGAGGACAATTATTCTAAATGATGAGAAAAAATATGCACATATCTTTTTTATTTCAATTGGTTCTCATTAGTTTATTTGATTAATTAATAGGATGAGACGCAGATGCGTAACTTGTATATCAACGATTGAGTTGTACTGATTTGCTGTGTCATGATATAGTACAAGTAGTTTAGAGCAAGCCACGAGGACAATGTACCTGCAACATGTGTACCATGTGAATTGTAACTATCATCTTCTGGGTCGTTGGTGTCATTCACATAGTTATGCCACTGAAAACAAATTTACTTTATATTCATCACTAAGAGGAGGGGGTAGCCCAGGGTTAACAGGTGTCACAAAACAATGACAATGACAGACAAAAGAATCATTTAATGGCGGTTTCAAATTTTTCTAGAAACGCTTCGAATAATATTATGTTGATGTCGACGTGTTAACCAATAACATAGCTTGTTATTTTACATCAAAATAAAGAAATGAGTAAGTAATATGCTTACATCGATTAAAACATCACAACGAAATATCGGACAAACGAACGTGGTAAGCAAGAGGTAAATATGTTTGTCATATCCTAATTTCAGGGCTTTTCCTTCTTGTTTCATTTTTTGGACAAATATTAAACCACACAGATGAAAAACTTCCCTTCGTAAAAGCAACCGAAATGCGTTGTTGAATGCTTCATTAAAAACCTGTTTCGCTTTTGGCGATATAAAAGAAATCGCACCTAGAGAAGTTGTATTTATCTTAATACATTGTTGATTGCTTGATTTTAGACCTTATTTTACCAAATGCAAGTTTCCTGACAGTATTCACATCTAAAAATGTAAACGTTACTTTGAATCGCAATGTGTGTGATTTATAAAACTCAAATTTCCTCAAGTTTTAGCTGGTTACTTCTTTCCTTACCACAGTCTTAGCTATACGTCCAGTAAACTCCTCATGATCTGATCGTATTCCCCTGAAAAATATTCATCGTTGACTATACGTATTTGGACCTATGTAATAGTAAAGTGACTGTGATACCCGAGTTTTATATATCTACCCGCTGTTACAACATTTTTCTTACATGCTTTAAACAACTCCAACACATTAAAAAAGAATAATAAATAGATCATCTAATGTGTGAGTTTAGAATTCTAATTTGTCAGTATGAGGAAGTCTAAATTTGTAAAACGGAATTTAGTTGCACTTACATATCTAAAATATACAAGTCCACGCCACTTCCATCTCCTGTAAATAATGAAAGTAACTTGGTATCGTGAGATATGCACATCTACCTTCGGTCCCTGCGGTCCCTCGGGAAAATATGCATATCTCCCTCTGGATAAACCCCATATCCAAAACCTCCCATTACATAACCCTTATGTATGTAGATAGTATAAGACAAAAGTGTAAATGAATTCTATAATGTAATAATAAAATTGAATACTAAATAATTCGACATGGTGTCAAACCACATGACAAACGCGCTGTTTAATATATCACATACCGTATGATGAAAACTTCTTGTCAAGAGTATTTGAGGCTTGGTTTATCCTATCTAGACCCTAGAACGTAAAGGACAATAAGTTAGGATGAACATGAATTTCGCGTAGTGTTATTTGCGATCAAATATAATTCTGTGAAGCTCGACTACTGAGAATAAAAACGGATGAAGTCTCAATAATGGATAATATAGTCCAATACCATTTCAACTCATTAAAACACTCTCTGCATACTGTCTTTTACGAAAACAAGCAGTGTGGATTTCATGTGCGCAAGGTGCGGATATTAACGGTCATATTTGGATTTTATTTCGTGATAGTTCACCACCTAAGGCATGTTGGGTTGTCAATTATATTTATACACGTGTATAGGTTCCCTTAATAAAAAGGAAGTTATGTAAATAGGCGAATAAAAGTTCATTCTATAGCGACACATCAAGTAATAATACTCTCTCCAAAGCATATAATTTGAAATTGCAGCTGTTTCACAGCGTAGACAGCATTAGTTCAATATTGGTGATCGAGATGACCTATAGATAAAAATTATATATGCATTTTGAAAGTTGGAAGATGTCTGTATGATTGTATGCAAAATGGAATAAACATTGAACAAAAATTTGCTACCTCTAAACAAACACCGCTTGCACATGTCCGAAAAATGTTTTCATTTTTTTTTAATTCACACAGAAAGTTTATTACTTTCAAAATGCAAAAATGATTTATATTGATCGGTCATCTCGATCACCTAATAATGAATGAAGACAGCAATTTCGAACTCTTTGCTATGGAGCATGGGTGAATGCTTAGTGCTTCTTTAAAGAATGAAGAGTACAAGTATCGACAAAATTTCATTTTTATTAGGTATCCTCTACAAATGGATGACTAAAATTGAGTACCCAACATGCATTAGTTTATGAAATATCACAAATTAAAATTCAAAAATGACCTTTAATATCCTCAACTTGCGAACATGATATCCGCACCGCTTGTTTTCGTATAGCACAGTCTGTATAGGGTGCAAACATTACCTACATTATTTTTTCAATGTTATTTCCTAAATTGTTTATATTTCTAATTCTTAAAACCTTAAAGCACATTTTATGAATTTATTAGGTGCAGCTTTGAGCTTAACATTTCTTACTTTAATATGTATTCGATTGTAAATAAATGTTAAGCATGTATTACCCAGTTATTTTCGTCTGCAAGAGTATATTCTATCTCTGAACACGAAGAGGCGCTTGTAGTCATTCCTCGAGTGGTAGTGGTTTTTTCAGTGGCGGTAGTCTTTTGTGTTGCGGTAGTTTTTTGCGGTGTGATCGTTTCTTTTGTAGTGGTAGTGGTTGGTTTTCGTGTAGGTTTGCAGATGCATTTTCTTTTTTTATATTTACAACCTTTACGTCTGCATTCCTTTTTTCCTATAGGTGGCCCATCGGGCAAATGTGGACTATCTGGATCGGGTGTCAAAAGTGGCCTATCAGTTGTAGGGTTGGTTGTATGGTTGCAACAACATGCATATGTATAATTCATTATATATATGTATTTGCATGTATATTCAATTTTCCCGTATTTAGTTTCTGACTTGCATTTTTTTCTTCCATAAGGTATTATTAGTGTACAAGATTCAAATGGTTCCGGTGGTAATCGTGGTTTTTGTAGTGCATACACGCGGTTATCCTGTACTATTTTATTGACATATTTATCCTCGACAATCGTCCGCAGCGTACTAAAGGAACAAATAAAGATGCAGTCAGTTTGTTTGTGGTAAATACGCAGGTACAAATTGTACGTAACTATGCACGCATGACTGTTCTTAAATTTCAATTTACACATAATATCCGAAACACAGTATTTCACATGACAGCGGTGCGTGAAATAATCAATAATGCATTCGTTTCATCTCGTTGTCATGGTGAGGGAGCTGGACTCACTGAGTGAAACGATGCTTTTCCAGTTTGACCCTTGCAAAAAGTTTCATCGATAATATGTTCTTTTAGTGATTTTTTATCTTTTAAGTGACACGGAAGGACATATTTTGCAATATGTGAAAAGGGTTTAAGCCCAAGACTCAATGCATTGTGGAATGACCATTGATTTAACACATTTTTGAGGAATTATTCTGTCCATATTGATCTGAGTCCAGGGCTTAAATCCTCAAGTTTAGAGATGAATGTATTCAAGAAAATCGTTATGAGGCTAATGCAAGGAATACGCTCTTTTACCAGACTACTTCAAGATTCCAATGATTCTGATGAATTAAGAAATTAATGATGTTGTTAATTACAAACGCGTCCAGGTAAAGATACATGTATTTTGAAATCTCCACTTGTTTACATTTGAGAGGGTTTTGGAAGGAGAAATAAATGGTAAGTTTGAAAATAGTCCATAGACATAAGCAACGATGAGTTGCGATTTAGTCGATTGTTGAATATTATAGCAATTCCGCTTAGGTTATATCACACTCTTAAATTCATACCCATCATTATAAGAAATTATGTAGTTAATATGTAAATATTAATAACCCCTCTACTCTTCTGTGATATATGTTTGTAATGTGATATACATGTATTAATTGTTTTGCTCTCCAATAAAACGGAGGAAATAAAAAAAAACACATAAACATATTGTAGAAAAGCTCACTCATGGCTGTAATGAATTTTTATCTTTTTCACATATGTCTTGTCAAGGTTGGATTCGGTTCCTATTTACACAAGTTCTGCAATTGATGACAAAGATGATTTTTATTAGTGATTATGCTTTTTGAAAATATTGTCAACATTATGGGAGGGGGGGGCGTAGCTTGAGGCTAGTAGATGGGTCGACGTTTTCATTAATGTTAGTTGTAAATACCTATCACTTGGACATGTTACAACGTATGCCATTAGTGTCGAGAGTAGTTCGCTAATGGTTGCATTTCCACTACTGCACTTGATACCCGATAGCATGCCAGATCGACCGATGGTACCTTTAACGTCTGTTGGGGGAGGTGTTCCTTGATTGGTTTTCCCATCACTTAGCAGTTTCTCAAAATGTTTCCCCACTAGGTCAAAAGTGAATTTATGCATACATAATTGAGAAAATGTCCGATCCGCTATGGAACTTGATTTTTACATCATGGTCAATTCACTTAAAACGATTTGAATGCTTTTTCCCTTCGTTTATAATACATAAAAGGATACCGGTAGGCTATAGAAAAATGCAATCTACTCCCATATTGACACGTCTTATCTAAGGACATCAGACGGCAACAAGCAGGCGAGAAAATAAGATATGAAAGTGGTTCGGAACGGAATGGGATGTATGTCACATCTATTTAAATCGAAATATAAATGAATACGATGATACGTGTATTGGTCAGAAATATAACATTATCTGTCGCTTACCTTCCGTACGGCTGACATTACTTTCGAAATAAACAATATATCTATTCTCCACATTGTTCGGAATCGTTATAATTCCACCCGCACGACCAGCGTTGATAATTGTTACTTTTTGTTTTGGAGCTGCTACAAACTTCTCTGAAGAAATACAAAAAAATGATTATCAACGATCCAAGAAACATTCTAAATATAACTTTCAATATAACAAAGGTGTACACAATGGCTTTCAATTTATGCGCTAGTCCATCATTTCAGAGGATTTCGAGGAATTTCGGTATTTGGATATCTCACCAAAAGACGAAATCAAGGATAAGTCCAAATTAAAACATAGATATTTATTAAGTTGAGTATGTACGAAGGGATCGTTTACCATATTTTTCAAAAAGTTCCCCAACTTGTCCAGTTGTTAACTCTTTTCAAATATCGTCACGTGTGTTTAGCGAGTATAGAAAACATATTTACTTACGGCTATTTTTAAGCCAGTTTGGTACAGCATAAACATCAGAGAAAATCACAAGAATGAAGCAGCAAATACGAAAATCCATCTCGCTGAATATATTATGAACTATAAAACTAAACAGAGATCATCATCGCTGTTAATAACAGATCGTATATTTCTATAGTTTAATACACAAACAGCTAGACTATGTATATTATAATGAAGCATATAGGCGTCGTACATCATCAACTATTGTGGTGAAATTAAACAGCACAATTGCAAAAAAGAATGACATTATATGTATTGAATTTTTATTGGACATAACTATAGATAATTACTTGAAAACGGAATCAGGCTTTTCAATAGAGAAACAACTTTTATGTAAACCCCACACGGAATCGTGATAATACATTCACATTATAATGTTGAAATGTTTACAAATACACGACAAATAGCTCATTACTGAATAAGCCCATGATACTTTGGATGAACCATTATTTTTTAATCAATGTTTTACATGACAGGCGCCCTCTTCAAATTCGACGACACATAGTTTTGTTCAAATCTCAGGATTGGCATTTTAAGAAAGTATTACCTTGAATTTTAACTTCGAAAACTTTTATTTAATTACTTTCCGGACGCCACCATCTTAAAGATTTGTGACGGTACTATAGCGTAAGACTTTTATATCTATATGTTTCCCTCCGCGATGTATTCATAATGTCGATGAAATCAAAATCGTAAAAATATTGTTAACGTTTATATTCTATTCAAAACTAAAGTACTAAAATATGTTATGATATTAGATAATTAATTATGTCACTACTGAACAGTAATAGTACAATAATAGATAACGTAATTAAAAGATGATTATTAAATCTAAATCTACTTTACAAGTGTATATTTCCTATAGCGCATATCTCATTTTGAAGTGTTTACTTCAGAATTAGATTTAGAACGACGTATAAAATCGAAAACAAAATTGATGATGAATATGGCATATAGAGTTATTTCAGCTTTGCTTATTTTAAGCACTTTAAACATTTCAGTTTGTGGCCAGTGGTCATTGCCACCGAACTTGGGTAAGTGACAAATCTCTATTACATTGAATTAACAACAATAATGCATTTGTCTTACCATCCGATCCGTAAACGGTGTCAAGGTAAATGTACCAAGTAACTAACGTATTTAACTTATATATTGAGTAATTAAACATGTATTTCATTTTCAGTCAATGTCGCGATAGGCAAGCCTTCCCAGCAATCATCAAATAACTATGGTCTAAATAAAGGGTTTTCAAATTTGGCTGTGGATGGCGATTCAGACCAGGACTGGTACCATGGTTCATGTACGCATACACGAAATGATTTCAGAGCCTGGTGGATGGTGGATCTACAAGCTTCGTACTTGATACATTCTGTTAAAGTGTTTAAAAGCATAAATGCCGTACCCGGTAAGCATTTTTAACATAAGTTTCAATGTATCGGACATGCGTGATTTGCAGATACAATTTATATAATAATTCGTGTCCTGGTCTCAAATATGAACAGAATGAGCCAAATAGGTTTAAGGCATTCTGATGCTACAATTAGATTCTATCTCTACGATTCCAATTGAGAACAAATAAGTATATATATAATGGGGTCTTTCATCTTCATTTGACATTTTGCATGCAATGCAATACACGTCTCAGTTTGACTCTTGCAAGACATAGTTTGTTTTGTTTTATTTAGCTCGTCTAAGCAACTTCAAAATAGAAGTAAGCAGTGATTCGGTCAACTGGAACCTATGCTTTCATCAAGGCGGGCCGCTGCAAAGTGACTGGGAACTCTTCTATTGCCAGGCATCAATTAGAGGTCGATATGTCAGGGTGCAACTACAAGGCAGTAACTATCTCACACTGTGTGAAGTTGAAGTATATGCACAATAGCACAAGCGTAGAAACCTTCAATGTTAAAACCGTAGCCAGAATTGGTTTTTGTGTTTATTGTAAATCTACAGCACATTTTTAATTAATTTCATTTCTTATAATCATTGATAAATATATCACCGAATGAAATACAATTTCTTGTGCTTTTCTCCTGTGGCTAAACTTATCTACAGGCGATGTCAAAGAAAGTCTGTCACCTTCCTGTGCCATTTTTGGTATGTAGTCCAAGATATTTCGAAATAGCCACTACGGTATGATCATTTTGGTAAACAAAAAGAACAAGGATAAATGCAAAGTTCGGAGTAATCTATGAATGCATCACTGCAAACCAGAACAGATTTGAAACTTTCATGGCAGGTAGTTTTGATTGTTTTGTTGATAGGAGTTTCACCATACCGTAAGGACTTGTTGACAAAAACCTATTCGAGTGGCATCTCTAATAACCACATAGTTATATTTGATATTATGACGACAATCATACCTGACTTACCAGTAGATAAAGGTAGATAAAGGTATTACATATTGATCCATCACGGTATTACATATTGATCCATCAAGATATTACATCTTGATCCATCAAGGTATTGCATCTTGATCCATCAAGGTATTACATATTGATCCATCAAGGTATTACATATTGATCCATCAAGGTATTACATTTTGATCCATCAAGGTATTACATCTTGATCCATCAAGGTATTACATTTTGATCCATCAAGATATTACATTTTGATCCATCAAGGTATTACATTTTGAGCCATCAAAGTATTACATCTTAATCCATCGATGTATTACATCTTGATCCATCAAAGTATTACATCTTAATCCATCGATGTATTACATATTGATCCATCAAAGTAGTACATCTTAATTCATCGATGTATTACATCTTGATCCATTAAGGTATTACATATTGATCTATCAAGATATTACATCCTGATCCATCAAGGTATTACATATTGATCCATCAAGGTATTACATTTTGATCCATCAAGATATTACATTTTGATCCATCAAGGTATTACATTTTGAGCCATCAAGGTATTACATATTGGTCCACCAAGGTATTGCATTTTGATCCATCGAGGTATTACATTTTGATCAATCGAGGTATTAGTTAATGAAAACACAGAATGAAATCAAGGTATTATATATTGGTCTATCTGGGTATTACATGTTTATCCATCGACGTATTACATCTTAATCCACCAAGGTATTACATTTTGATCCATCAAGGTATTACATCTTGATCCATCAACGTATTACATTTTGATCCATCAAGGTATTAGTTAATGAAAACACAGAATGAAATCAAGGTATCATATATTGGTCTATCTGGGTATTACATGTTTATCCATCGACGTATTACATCTTAATCCACCAAGGTATTACATTTTGATCCATCAAGGTATTACATCTTGATCCATCAAGGTATTACATTTTGATCCATCAAGATATTACATCTTGATTCATCAAGGTATTACATCTTGATCCACCAAGGTATTACATCTTGATCCATCAAGGTATTACATTTTGATCCATCAAAGTATTACATCTTAATCCATCGATGTATTACATATTGATCCATCAAAGTATTACATCTTAATCCATCGATGTATTACATCTTGATCCATTAAGGTATTACATATTGATCCATCAAGGTATTACATATTTATCCACCAAGGTATTACATCTTGATCCATCAAGGTATTACATTTTGAGCCATCAAGGTATTACATTTTGATCCATAAAGGTATTACATCTTGATCCATCAAGGTATTACATTTTGAGCCATCAAGGTATTACATTTTGATCCATCAAGGTATTACATATTGATCCATCAAGGTATTACATTTTGAACCATCAAGGTATTACATATTGATCCATCAAGGTATTACATATTGGTCCACCAAGGTATTACATATTGATCCATCAAGGTATTACATATTGGTCCACCAAGGTATTACATATTGATCCATCAAGGTATTACATATTGATCCATCAAGGTATTACATATTGATCCATCAAGGTATTACATATTGATCCATCAAGGTATTACATTTTGATCCATCAAGGTATTACATATTGATCCATCAAGGTATTACATCTTGATCCATCAAATTATTACATCTTGATCCATCAAGGTATTACATATTGATCCATCAAGGTATTACATATTGGTCCACCAAGGTATTACATATTGATCCATCAAGGTATTACATATTGATCCATCAAGGTATTACATATTGATCCATCAAGGTATTACATATTGATCCATCAAGGTATTACATTTTGATCCATCAAGGTATTACATTTTGGTCCACCAAGGTATTACATCTTGATCTATTACGTATAGGTCCACCAAGGTATTACATTTTGATCCATCAAGGTATTACATTTTGATCCATCAAGGTATTAGTTAATGAAAACACAGAATGAAATCAAGGAATTACATCTTGGTCTATCTTGGTATTACATGTTTGTCCATCGAGGTATTACATCTTAATCCACCAAGGTATTACATTTAGATCCATCAAAGTATTTCATCCTGATCTATTCAGGTCAATCAAGGTGTCACAACTTGATGCACCAATGCATTACATCGTAATCAAACAAGGTGTTGCATCTTGGTCCAACAAGCTATCATAATGGCTGCAGAAAAACACTGGTTGAATCACATTTATGCGTGCGCGCGCAGTTCATCCACTGAACGAAACGCCACTTCCCGCTGAAATCACCGGGTAATGATTTTCCCTTGGATTGGTAGTATGAACTATCACACCCGTATCCTAAAAATACTTCAGGCTACCGTGGCTACCATCTTACGAAACCATGACATGGTAAACATGTACTTACATTGTAACTTGCACTTGGTTGATTTAATCTTGGTGATTTGCATAAAACAAACAAAAAATGAATAAACATTTTAAAATTCACCACTTTATTTCAAAAGTCTTTATAAATACAATGATGATTTCCAAATGGACTTTTTATCCACAATTCCAATGGGAATCCATTGCTGTTGAATCGTCACCATATCTTAACCACAGCCGTCAGAGCGAAGGATCCTGTTTGGAGTATTTGGCTTGAACGTGGGAATATCAGTTTTTATCTTGCCTTTCCACGACCTATGAGTAAAAATCGAAACAGGTATTAACATTTTTTAGAAATCCCAAGAATATAAATAACACGTATTACAGAATGGCGTTTTTTTATCAAAGCAATTGCAATATATTCTGAAAAGGGGTTTCGAACAGCGACCAAGGCAGATATTTTGTGCGTTCTACAGGGTGTTAAAAACGCAACCCAAAGAAATCCCTATATATTGAAAAATACCAATTCAATTATATTCATTTTTTCAGGAAAGAGGAAGAGACTTTTTACGTATAGCTACTGTAGTTGGTTACTTGTAAAACATGATGCATTTGACACCTTCTCCAAAGACAGTTGTACTAGGAAAATACAAAAAACGCAGTCAGAGGTGACTGCAACCGCAAAGAAAAACAAATAACTTCCTAATTAGTGTTTTTGCTCTTCAAATTTGGCACAAAAATATCTCCATTCAATGTATGGTAAATCTATAGAGTGAAATCACAATAATCCAAGGGACTTTACAGTTATGGTCGAAATGATTTCAAAACGCAGCCAAACGCTCTGGTTCAGGCAGACTTAAGAAGGTATTTTGACCATGACTGTAAAGTCCCTGGGGTGATTTTTATGAAACTCCACAAATTCACCACACATTGAATGAGGATAACTTGTGCTAAATCTGAAGTGCCAAAACACTGTGGTAAGAAAGTTTTCAGTTTTATTGCTGTGGCAGTCACCTCTGACTGCGTTTTTCGTATGTTCCTAATACTAATATATTTGAGCAGGTGTCCAAGGCATCATGTTTTACAACTTACTAACAACAGGGGCTATACATACACAGCCTCTTCTTTCCTGAAAAAATGAACACAATTGGATTAGTCTTTTCTATGATAAAGCGATTTCTTTGGGTTACGGTTTTTGCACACCCTGTAAATTATCGCAGAGAAATATAATATGATATATCTAACAACATAAACTTGAGCTGAAAATAATGGTAGTCAAATTGAATGATTTTTTACCTGTTGATCAAATAGTTTGTCACTTGTGTTACCGTTGCGGTTGGGTTCAAACTCAAATAACACGCTGCCATGCCCGCCTATAAAGAGCGGATAAAATTGTAAATGAGAAAAAGTGGCGCATAGTAATTTTTTTATTAAGTCAGAGAAAACACTGCGAAAACATACAGAAATATGATATCCTTATTACTATTACATATTTTTTATCTGATGCATCGCTATATTTTTCTCTATTACGCCAGAACCTAACACTTCTTGTCCGATGCGTGTTTACCAAATTTGGAATCGTCCATTTTGTTTCTATTAGTGACGTCATCAATAGATGTGTTGGACGCCCAAACATAATTATCATGCGTAATTGAAATTAGTAATACAATATTCGATATTAGACTAAGAAAAAAGAAGTTCATTTGAATGATAATCTCTGTCTTGATCTCATAGTGGTTGATAAATGACTAGGCTATAGTAATGGAACAGAAAGGTTTACACCCTAGGGTTCAAGGGTGAGCCTGTCTTCTTCATGAACCTCTACACGAAGATAGGTACACCTTTAAATTCTAGAATCTTCCTGGTGTAACATACTTACTACAAACGGGGCGGACTGGGACGTCCCTGAAAAAAGATCACGTTAGATCATGTTAGTCGTCAAAATAGCATTGCAGTTTGTCAATATCGTTTTACACACCGATATACTTCGTACTCAGTGCACTTTACATGGTATATACCAGATGAGTTTAAAATGAGTTATTAATTCAAATATATCTTTTTTTTTATTAATCAAACCACTTACAGCTAGGTTAAGCATACCTTATATTCCATCGGGCAAATGAATATAAAAAATGGGCTAAGACGTATCAAGAGCACAGATATTGCATATTTGTTCGTCGTAAGTCAAAGAGGTGGTTAAATTACCAATTTTATAAGAACATATACGTGAACTTGTAATACTGTAAATTCAAGGTATAGCAGCGCCTTGGTCATTTATTCTTCTAGACATAGCATACAACTAAAGTCTATCTTAGGATTTAAAAATGAGTATTTCTGCTGTAATTTGCAATAAAAATGCAAAATAACGATAAAATTGCAGATCGAATGCCACTGTCCAAAATGTATTTGTGATTCAATATTATTACAAGTAACAACTCTAAAAGGGGAGGGGGACTTATCACTAGATGACACTAAATATACACGTTCACGTTAACGTTTTCTAAAGGATTTACCTCCCAAATATTTTTTGCTTACCCGATAGCTCGCCATAGCTGGTAGCGGAGTCTTTTGTAGCACTCATAATGTCTGTTCCCTGATAACACATGTACTATTTTTAAAACATCGGTAAGACTGAATTATTCAGCGTAACCTTGCATGCGTACATTTTTATGGTGTCTGTCTTTCTTCACAACTTCATTAGCTAAGGTCACACAAACGGCGCTTTGGTGGCGCTTTAATGCGGCGTGCAAAGCGGCTTTGCACGGCGGTTAACAGCGCCACCAAGGCGCCGTTGGTGTGAATTTAGCTTTAACGAATGTTTCTCGACCGATCATGGTATTATACCGTATCTCGATTTTAGAATGATACATAATGTACACGTATTGTGTCTACTTAATACAAGATTAAAGGAGCATAGGTTATTTTGAACGATTCTAACTTAAATTAGGAATATTTTATGATCATGAACATGGGTGTACCTTCTAGATCCATCTATTATCTTCAAGAAAAATATATATAATGATAATTTAGTTAATCAGATCTAGGTGATTTTGAAGGGACAATGTACCAATCAACATGCTTTTTCAAAAATGTTGACCTAATTTTCACTAAAATCCACCTTTTTATTATATTGTTGAATGCAGAATGTGCATGTGAGACATTCGTTTTTTATTTCTTAAGGGGAAAATCGGATTGCTCCGGGGACTTTAAAGATACTGAATTTGGATTACCAAAATGAACTGAAACCAATAGATAGCAAGATATTTTTCAATTGAGGAAAAACATGGGACAGCAATTAAGTCTTACTTTAAAGAAATATTTGATACATTAAAATAAAGGATAGTAATGCATTAAACAATGTAAAAAAATGGTTGCATTTTTGGTGAAAATGAGGCCAACATCTTTGAAAAAAGTGATGATGGGTTGATTGCTAGCTAAATATCTCCGAGTTTGTTTGACTTTATTATTACTGTATATAATTTTCTAGGAGATCATGAATGGATCTAGAAGATATACCTGTCTTCATTGTCAGAAAATAGTCATAATCCAAGATATAACCATCTGAAATTGTTTACGATAACCTACGTGCTCCTTTAAACTTTGGCAGGTATAACTTACTGGCGCTGCAATGTCAATCCCGGCACCATAATTAGTGTCTTCGCGAAGGAAATCATCTTTCTTCAGATTAGCAACGGTAAAGCTATTATATCATAAATAAAATGTGCTGAGAAATTAATCCATTTTAGTTAGTATTTATCTTTATATATATAGTTTTAAAGTTTAAACCTTTATTTCCTTTATGAGATCTTATTTTCATTTGCATACGTTGTATATGTAACCGCGACAAGTTTGCCAGGCCCGTAGACAGTTTTCGCCAAAGTTGTTCAGTTTTTGAAAAAATTCAGGGGAGTTAAAATATGACAATTTTCGCAAAAGTCACTCGTAAATTCCTGAACAAGTAAATTTATTCTGTAACAGAAAAAGCGCAAGAAAAGGGAAAAGACGCCCACAAGTGTATATCTGAATACGTTGAATGAACAAAAACATTGAAAAACATGATGTATGCTGTACACTTGGAGTAAGTGTGAGTACAATTATTGAGTAAATAGAGAATATCCTACATGAGGTTCAGGATATTGGGATTATCCCGAGGCGAATATAATATATTTGCCCGAGGGCCGTAGGTCCCGAGGGTAGATATATTATATTGGCCGAGGGGCGATCCACATATCCTGAACCGACTATAGGATTATCTGTTTATCGCATACCAATCTTGGTCATTTGGTTCACATTGTTCAATATTGGCCAGAGTTCAGAAACTTTGCAACCAACCGTGGAATTATTTTAGAATATTTATGTCCAGTTTTGTATCCTTGGCCGTAGCCGGATTTTCCTGTTCTTTTGGGATATTCATCAACATCTATTTTCTCGAATTCTTCATTATTAACAGTGCATACTTCCTTTCTTTTTAAAGCGTCAAACAGATTGCGATTGTCTGCATCTTTCTCCATTGTCGTTTACATTTACCGAGTTATTATACGAACGTTACAAGGCATGGACCAATATGCGAACGGCGATTATGACGTAGCAGATAGATACATTAGTTGTATAACATGGGTCTTTAACAACGATATACAGTGGAGAGTGGTATATCGTCATCGTATACAACTCCTCCGTATAAACTCCAGCGCATACCACTGTAGAAGTGCATTCTTGGAACTAATGAATAAAAAAATCATGAACATTTTCATGATTTCCTAGAATCAAGTGACGTCATAAATGGTTCCGGCATGATTCGCTAAAATCAATCCACTTCATAAATGGTTCGAGATCAACATCAGCATTATTGAGTTGGCTATGGGATATGTTTATGGTTTTTAATTGTTATGATTGTGGTCGAATCAACTGTAATTGAACTTAGAGTGGCATAATAAGATTATATAATGGTTCATTCTGTATATCGTGCATTTTATACTCTTGTGAGATTACAATATATTCACTCGTTCGCTACGCTCACTTGTGAATATGTCATATACTCACTCGAGTATAAACACGATATACAAAAAGAACCATTATATAACCTCATAATATATACCCGCTAATGAAAATATAAGTTTTTTACAAACCGGCTTTATGATGACGTCATTTAAGGTCCGAGCTATGTTCACTTGTCATCCGGGCTTTGTTTTCTTGACGAAAAGTGACACATTGAAAATAAATCTACGATTTCTGTTTTTCTTGCTAAAAAGTGTACACATTTTTAAAAAGGATTCTTGGCCAAATAGGAGAGCCTTTTTAGAACACCCCCCCCCCTTTGCTACGGGCCTGGTTGTCAAACTAGGGGGTGTACTTCAATCTTTCAAACAGAACAGTGATACGTACGCTTTTGGTTCCCCAGCAGGTGACAACGTATTCCATTTACTGGCTGAATTACCAGCAGCAACACTTACAAAGATGCCCTAAAATAATACATTTATGGGGATAAGTGCCCTTTATCGATCAAGTACTCCCTAGAATAATACATTTTTTGAAATAAGTGCTCGTTACCGATAAAAATTGCCCTAAAATAATACATTTATGGGGATAAGTGCCCTTTATCGATCAAATACTCCCTAGAATAATACATTTTTGGAAATTAGTGCCAGTTACCGATCAAAAATGCCCTAAAATAATACATTCATTGGGATGAGTGCCCTTTATCGATCAAATACTCCCTAGAATAATACACTCTTTGAAATAAATGCCAGTTACCGATCAAATTTGCCCTTGAAGAATACATCAATGAGACAAAGTGCGACAAAAAATACACTACAATAACATATGGGGTTTCCTGCCTTTTTTATCGGTATACACATTCTATAACATTATGATGTTGAACTTCATATTATTAATTTATTGAAAATAATCATATCATCTGATTTATTGTAAGATACTCAAATAAAATAAATTGTAACTAGACTCTCGAAAAGTGTGGCCATTGAAAAAACTATACTCAAAGAAACATTTTCAAATGATTTTAATGGCATGTGCATGATTGAATCGAATATAAGGATAAAAAGTAATCATCCCGTTCATCAGGATTTAATGCCAAGACTGACAAGCAGCTAATAAGGACGGAAAATCCATCCACCCAAACAACGACCTAGATGCGTTATTGTTTTACAATTATATTTCGTTATACAATTTGTTATTTTATATTCAAGAAAAAAGTTCCGGGCAATTTTATTTCCTAAACATCATATTTAAAATGTTTAAATAATGTTAGTAATTATATTTGAGAATTATCGAACAAATCAGTGTGTAAAGTTATATAAAATCCCTAGAATCCTTTTTATCTGTATATTCGATTAGTAGTTATCCATCGAGAGGGGTATCATAAATCAACTTATTCCGATTTTATACCAAAATTAGACGTTCATATTCTGTGCATAAGCCTTCGAATTAAAGTTTTGAAATGGTTTTGGGAATAAAAGTAGGGGGCTTTATATATCAGTGTAGTATACATATAGCCTCTATTATTACATTGAATATCAATTGGCTCTAAAATGAAAGGAAAAACAAAATTAATGATAAAATTGGATTAGATTTTCTGCTCCGAGAAGTGCGACCATGTTGAGACAAAGGCAAGCTACCTTCGTCACCATTCGATCCATCTAAGAAGCTTTTTATCGATACTTGTTTATAGTACACATTAGATTTTAAGATTTTGTTAGAGAAATTGCTTTAAAACTAAATTATTTTGAAATGTGGGATAATTATAGGATATCCTATGATTTTGAGGAATATCATTTTTATCTACGAGGTGATATTGATATCTGCACGAGAGAGCGAAGCGAACGAGTGCATATATCAATATCACCGAGTAGATTAAAATGATATTCTGAAAAAAATCATAGGATGTTCTTATTATCCTACACTTACAAGGAGTGTACTAAATGTATAATATCATTGCAAAATGAATTTCATGCCAAATAGAGTCAATTTGGCGGGAAATCAACAAGCGGAGTATATCGTCACAATATCCTCCGCATATTGGGTTTTCCGGAGTATATCGTCACGATATCCTCCGCCCGGAGTATATCGTGACGATATCCTCCGGATATTCATTTTGCCCATAAATATCAAATTTATTTTTTAATGTTATTATACATTTAGTACACTAAGTGTAGGATAATAATAAGATATCCTATGATTTTGAGGAATATCATTTTTATCTAGGAGGTGATATTGATATCTGCACGAGAGTTGGAAGCGAAAGAGTGCATATATTAATATCAACGAGTAGATAAAAACGATATTCTGAAAAAGTCATAGGATGTTCTTATCATCCTACACTTACTAGTAGTGTACTAAATGTTTAATATCATTGAAAAATAAATTTCATGTCAAATAGTTTAATTTGGCGGAAAATCAAAAAGCGGAGTATATCGTCACGATATCCTCCGCAATTGGTTTTCCGGAGTATATTGTAGCGATATCCTCTGGCTATATAATTATTCTTCCCAATAGATATCAAATTTATTTTTTGATTTTATTATACAATATAGTAAACTAATTGTAGGATAAGTTACAATAAAATGTCCTGCAACATTCACAAGGTGTAAGTCAATGGTGATATAAAGGTGTGTCTTGTTACGATTTATTTTAAAAACAGCAAATAACTAAACTATAAAATATATTAGTAACACATAAAAAATGCTGACTGCCATTAAGGGAAAGTGAAAAAATTTAAATTGAAAATATCACGCCAATTGATATTTTCTCATCGCTTTAGAATGAGTAAATCTATTTCAAAAGACCGCAAAGACGTTTCTCAACATAACTGAAGCAAATGGAATATATAAACTTATAAATTACATTGTCTACAGCACGTATAACTTCGTCATCCATCTCCTGAGTCGGTGGTCCACCCAAAGACAAACTAAAATTCACACTTTTATATAAAGCATTACAGCATCCATGTAATTGTCTCTTCTGCAAATTTTACTACATATATTTGGAATATACATATTTTCATAGTTAGATACAGTATGTGAATGCTGTGCATATTTTTCTGAAATGGCTTGGATCTATGACTATATGCTATGATGGAAACATGTCTAGTTAAAGTAAACTTCATTTTACCACGTACTTTATAACCGAAGGCTTTTTACGACTTTGCTTCAGCTCAATGGCTTTGCCGATAGCAGCTATCACATCACTGTAAAGAAACCAACTACATGTATATCAACATGAAAAAACAACGACCTGCTTGTAAGTGTATCTGTTTGCAACAGAAGTGTAACATCGAACGTCGAACAACGTCTGTTAAATTCACAAGTGCTCCCTTGGACAGATTGCCATATACAACTAAAGTCCCAAGCATTTTATTATCTATTATATATAGGGTGTGCCAAAAAAATTTGCAACTTTTTTAGAGGGCTAGAAAAGTATTATAACATTATGGTATTGACATAAAAATCCTTTTTACAGAAACTTAACGATAGGCATATTTTACCATTCAAATACTTATTGCTAATACTGACTTCAATTTTTTTGTCAGATGTTTGAATATTAATGGTTAATTGTTCATGTGTCCGAGATTTACCATTTTTCCTAGAAAATTTGACTTCCTATGACTTTATTTGATTTACACATAATAACACATAATAACACATTCATCATCCTTACTAAATCTGCTAAATCTTTGATAACTGTTTAACCAATGTCTATAACAGGTTTATCAGTATCTAGTCACTATGGTAATATTGTTACACTGTATTACTTTATTTATTAAACAAATGCTCTATGCATCCGCCTTTCACCTTCACAATCGCGTGGAGACAAGAACCGAATTGGTCATTGGCGAGATCCAGCAGTTCTTGTTGTAGTTCTCTCCACTTATCCTGCAGAACTTCTTATAGTTGATTAATAATTTGTAGCCATTAACTTCAAAACTTTGCTCCAGGTGCCCCCAAGTGTGATAGTCCAAGGGGTTGGCATCTGGTGTATCGGGTGGCCATTCGACTCAGGACTTATATTCTTCAAAAGGGACATCTTTCAAGAATGGGGGCTCTTTCAGCCCCAGGTGATTACTTATTCCAGCAGGTTAGCGCTCCTGACCATAGAACAGAGGTCACTATGGAATATCTGGAGCAAAATACCCCTTGATTCATTAGTCCTGATAAATAGTCGCTCAATACACCACTTAATAAAGATTTTTAGAAGATTTAGTGAAGATAATAAATATTCTATCGATGATCACATAAAATTATAGAAAATCACACATGAACAATTTACCATTGATACGAGGGTTGTCCCAGAAGTAATGCACTATATGCTCTAACTTCATCAATAATTAATATTTTTCCTTAAAGACATTTTGATCATTCTTGAAATTTTCATGTTGATTGATAAAACTATATTGATGTTATGATAAAATCAAGTTGTTGAGTTTGGGTAGGGCGGGGCAGGTTTTACAGTCAAGTCAAAAGGAATGAAAAATTGAAAGTATGAAATAATTAATCAACAAATACCATTTGGTGTAGCTATAAGAAGTATGCTCAAAAATACGCCCACCCCTACCCCCATGTTGTTATAGCAACCATATTAAGACTTAATATTAATTTTGGATGCTGAAACTTCAGGATATAATAGATAAAACTTCAATTGTTATATACACAAAATTTCAGCTGAATTGAAGAATATTAAAGAAAGTTAGAGCATATAGTGCATTACTTCTGGGACAGCCCTCGTATTCAAACATCTGACAAGAAAATGTGAAGTCAGTATTAGCTTAAGTATTTGAATGGTAAAATATGCATATCCTTTCTGTAAAAAAATGCAAATTTTTTGGCACACCCTGTATAGTACATCATGTCTTTTTGTCTTACCTGGTATAACCGGAACCCCATTGGTCTAACACTTTGAATGTTATTATTGTTGCCTTTTTTGCGAGACCAGAGTTTGTACCTGCGGCGATTCCTATAAGAACATGATCGTATTCTTGAATATTTTATATTTTAACATAGATTTTAAAACAATGTATATTTTTATGAATTGGAACTGTGAAGTTTACATTTTATTAAAATCGTTATCATTAGAAAGGAAAACAACCCAATCTTGAAGCAGGTTCGACATCATAAACGAGCGATCGCGAGGTAAACTAAAAGCTTGAACTTAAGATAAACTTTCGTCTGTATAATCATTATATGCCAATGAGGGTTTCGTCCATTAAAAAAATGATTACCCAATTAGCATTTGCATAGATCCTATTGTATACTGCTGAGGATATCGAAATACAGAAACTGAGGGTTGCTACATGACTTTTGACCCAACTATGGTTTGTTTAAAAGGGTTATCATTCGGAATATGATATCCTTGACCTTGAACTAATGAATGAACCAAAAGGCTGACAGAAACAACAAACATGTTGAAGATATCTCCATAGGAAGAGGAAAGTAAGCAATAAATACAAAATAGCATGATTTCATTTTTGTTTACAACTATGGATTATGTTATTTTATATTTTGTAAAGAAATGTTGTGATCAACAAAAATATAGAGTATATAAGGTTAATAAATAGAATACAGTTGAGGAATCGTTAAAGAGATCGAGTCTCTCCTGATTGTTTCGTGTTATTTGATGTAAAACAAGTTTGTTTATCAACTTACCAATGCAGAGGCTTGAATTAATTCGTTAACAGTATCAATTTGACGACTGTTCCTTGCCATGAATTTCCACTTACATCAACAGAAATTAAAAATAAAATTTAAAAGCCCGCTCAAATTTGTTCCAGTCTTATTTGCTTTTTCTTCAGTTTTGGTTCAGTGGATCCATATTTATGACTTCCAAGGGGTTAAAATATAGATAAATTCCAAAACACATTAAAAAACAAATTATTGTGTTCAATTGGTTGTACTGTTGATTTTCTCAATATATTGGTGAAATTGTGCTTATGATTTGGTCTCAAGATATATCTAAGGTATATATAATGTTTTATGAGCAATTATATTGGGACATTACTGATTGTCCAGAATAGAAATCTGGACGACTGGATCTCTTTAAGTAAAGTGCGTCTATAATTTGATAAGTATGTTTACGGTTTACACAGGCTTTACGTTATAGTGTGTAACTGCTTTATGGGAACCCCGCAGTTCTGAGATTGTTTTGATGTGTTCTTCTTACCTGAGATGTGGGAACCATGTGAATTAAAACTATCATCTTCGGGAGTAGTTGTGTTATCAACATAGTTAAACCACTGAAATGAATTCAAATCATGCAGCTGTTTTATATACATCGATAAGGTAAGTCTCCATGTTCGGTATTTTGCTGCATTCTTCAGTTAAGTTACATTGTTATTTTTTATATTGTTCACAATATATATTATATTGTGACCTGTGACTCAAATTGGGGATTGTAGCAAAATTTCTAAAATGCAGACTTACCTTAAACCACTGAAATAGAATGATGTAGTTGAGTAATCACTACCAATCACTGTACATAGTTAAACTTTAATAAATTTAAATGATGTTGTTGTGTTATCCGTTACATAGTCTAACCATTTGAATACAGAGTGTGCCAAAACTTTTTAAACTTTTTAAAAGGCTAGAAAAGTATCATAACATTAAGGTATTGGCATTACAATTTATTTGACAGATCTTTAAATATCAATGGTCAATTATTCATGTGTCCAAGACTTTCTATGATTTTATGTGATCAACAATAACAAATGCATTATATTAACTAAATCTGCTATAATCTTGGATAACTGTTTAAACAATGTCTAGTACAAGTGAATATGCGTATCTTGTCACTATGGTATTATGTTATACTGTATCTTCGTAATAATTTTCATTAAACCAATCATCTAGGCATCCGCCTTTCACCTTAACTATCGCTCCCAGCCATTTAGAAAAGGTCACTTTGGGATATCTAATGGAGAAAACACTTCCTTTCATTAGTCCTGATAAATAGTCACCAAATACATCAGATGCCAACCACTGTGACTATCACACATGGGGACGCCTGGTGCAGCTTATTGCAGTTAAGGGTAATCCCCCACAAACTATTGATCAACTAAAAGAAGTTCTGCAGGAGAAGTGGAAAGAACTACAAGAAAACACGCTATTGACCAGTTCCGTCCTTGTCTCTGTGCGATAGTTAAGGTGAAAGGTGAATGCATAGAATATGTGTATGATAAACAATCAATAGATGCAGTATAACACAATACCATTATGACTAGATACTGATACAAACTACTAGACATTGGTTAAACAGTTATCAAAGATTGCAGCAGATTTAGTTAAATAATGAATGTGTGATTGTTGATAACATAAAATCATAGAAAATCATATTTTCTAGAAAAAATGTACATCTCGGGCATATGAACAATTGAACATTGATATTCAAAGATCTGACAAAAAAAGATCGAAGTCAATTTTAGCTTAGTATTTTAATGGTAAAATATGCATATCCTTAACTTTCTGTAAATAATTTTTTATGCCAATACTCTAATTATTAGACTCCAGATTGAAAATCTGGAGTCTATTGTTTTTGCCAGTATTCTTCTTCTTCTTCTTATTATTATTATTATTATTTTTCTTTAAGAGTTTTTTCAATAACTATAAGGTATCCAGTAAAGACCATTATACAGTTCATTTAGGTTCAGTATCTAGTTGGTGGGAAATTGGGTCAAATTTTTATCTAGGTCAAAGGTCAAGAACTAGGTCAAATCTTACATTTTCAACCTTCTGTCTATTATCTTCGTCGTTATTTCTCGAAACGTCTTCATCTTTTTTTCATCCTGTAGCTGACAAACAGCCCTTTCATAAGTGTGCCATCCGTTTTTTGATTACTCTTACCGATTTTGAAATATGGCGTCCGGAAAGTAGGTCACACCAAAACGTGCTCCAAATTCAATGTATGAGTTATGAATTAGGAGTAGAATTTTGTCAGGAATCCGAATCTGCAAACCAAATTTCGATCCGACTTCCGGTTCGGAAGTTATGGCGTTTTGAAAGCTCAAAAATCGCTAAATTTGGTGCCCATGTTAAGTCAATGGGAAAAAAGATTTTTTTGAAGTGAAAAATTCGAAATATAGACTGAGTTCAGCTTAATTTAATGAAAGCCTTCAAAAGAAGAAGACCTCAAAAGCCATCTAGCTTCAAAATTTGGACACCAAAATGCCTAGGTCAAAATCTAGGTCAAATTCAAAGGTTTTCCTTATTTTTGCGATTCTGACACTACACTTCAATTATATTCTTCGAAATTGTGTATACATGTAGCCAAGAGTGTGCTAATAGTGTTAGCCTTTTGCCGTCAGAAAGTATTTTGACCCACTTTTCAGATATGGTGTCAGAAAAGTAGGTCAAAATAAAAAGTTCTCCAAATTTAACGTATGAGTTATGAATTAGGGGTAGAATTTTGTCAGGAATCCGAATCTGCAAACCAAATTTCGATCCGACTTCCGGTTCGGAAGTTATGGCGTGTCCGAAAAGTAGGTCAAAATAAAAAGTTTCCAAATTTAACGTTTGAGTTATGAATTAAGAATAGAATTTTCTCAGAAATCTGAATCTGCAAACCAAATTTCGATCCGACTTCCGGTTCCGAAGTTATGGCGTGTCCAAAAAGTAGGTCAAAATAAAAATTCGCCAAATTTAGCGTATGAGTTATGAATTAGGGGTAGAATTTTGTCAGGAATCCGAATCTTTAAATCAAATTTAGATTCGACTTCCGGTTCGGAAGTTATGGCGTTTTGAAATTTCGGAAATTCGATCTGATGGTATCCTGATAGAAAGTCAAGAGTAAAGAAGAAAATATTAAAAAATTCATCCATCCTTCCTATCTGATCCTATTCTATCCTATCCTTCCTATCTATACTTCCTTTGTATCCTTTCCTTCCTATCCTTCCTATCCTCTCCTATCATATCCTTTCTTCCTATTCTGTTCTATCCTATCCTTCTTTCTTATTCTATCCTATCGTTCCTTCCCATTCTATCCTATCCTACCTTCCTATTTTATCCATCCATCTTATTCTGGATGACTCGGCTTATTTTAGATGACTGGGCTTAAAAAAGTCTAGATCTGGAGTCTGAAATTGAACTTCGTTCAATTTCCAAAGTCTAGTTATTATTAGACTCCAGATGAAATCTGGAGTCTATTGTTTTCGTCAGTTTTCTTATTATTCTTTTTCTTCTTCTTCTTCTTCTTATTATTAGACTCCAGATGAAATCTGGAGTCTATTGTTTTCGTCAGTTTTCTTATTCTTCTTATTATTCTTTTTATTATTCTTATTCTAACCCAGTTTTCTCAATAACCATAAGGTTTTCAGTAAAGTCAGTCATTTGGTCAATTTAGGTCCAGAATCTAGTTCCTCGGAAATTGGGTCAATTTTTTATCTAGGTCAAAGGTCAAGAACTAGGTCAAATCCAGTACTTTGTCACTTTTTTCGATTTTCTCGGTCGTCCTTCAATATTTTTGATCCGGGTTTTTTTCATTGTGTTCCTTATAAAAAAGTAGGAAAGCTAGGGTCGATTTAGTTTTTTGATATCTCAAACCGATTTCGAGATATCAGTGTCCGAAAACGAGGTCCAAAAAAAAGTTCTCCGAATCAAATGTCCAGGATATTAGTCTTATAGGAAATTTTCTCAGGATTCCGAATCTGAAAACCAAATTCGAATCAGACTTCCGGTTCGGAAGTTATGGCGTTTTGAAAGCTCAAAAATCGCTAAATTTGGTGCCCATGTTAATTCAATGGGAAAAAAGATTTTTTTGAAGTGAAAAATACGAAATATAGACTGAGTTCAGCTAAATATAATGAAAGGTTTTAAAAGAATGGGACCTCAAAAGCCATCTAGCATCAAAATTTGGACACCAAAATGCCTAGGTCAAAATCTAGGTCAAATTCAAAGTTTTTCCTTATTTTTGCTATTCTGACACTACAGATTAATTATATTCTTCGAAATTTTGTATACATGTAGCCAAGAGTGTGCTAATAGTGTTAGCCTTTTGCCGTCAGAAGGTATTTTGCCCCACTTTTGAGATATGGTGTCCGAAAGTAGGTCAAAATAAAAAATTCTCCAAATATGACGTTTGAGTTATGAATTAAGTATAGAATTTTCTCAGGAATCCGAATCTGCAAACCAAATTTCAATCTGACTTCTGGTTCGGAAGTTATGACATTTTGAAAGCTCAAAAATTGCTAAATTTGGTGTCCCACGTTATGTCAATGGGAAAAAAGATTTTTTTGAAGTGTAAAATACAAGATATATACTAATTACAGCTTAAAATAATGAAAGCCTATGAAAGAAGGGGACCTCGAAGGCTACTTAACTTCAAAATTTGGACACCAAAATCCCTAGGTCAAAATCTAGGTCAAATTCAAGGTTTTTCCTTATTTTTGCGATTCTGACACTACAGATTAATTATATTCTTCAAAATTTTGTATACATGTAGCCAAGAGTGTGCTAATAGTGTTAGCCTTTTGCCGTCAGAAAGTATTTTGCCCCACTTTTGAGATATGGTGTCCGAAAAGTAGGTCAAAATAAAAATTCGCCAAATTTAACGTATGAGTTATGAATTAGGGGTAGAATTTTGTCAGGAATCCGAATCTTTAAATCATATTTTTCGATTCGACTCCTGGTTTGGAAGTTATGGCGTTTTGAAATTTCGGAAAATCGATCTGATGGTATCCTGATAGAAAGTCAAGGGTAGAGAAGAAAATATTGAAAAATTCATCCATCCTTCCTATCTGATCTTACCCTATCCTATCCTATCCTTCCTATCTATCCTTCCTTCATATCATTTCCTTCCTATCCTTCCTATCCTCTCCTATCATATCATTTCTTCCTATTCTGTTCTATCCTATCCTTCTTTCTTATTCTATCCTATCGTTCCTTCCTATTCTATCCTATCCTACCTTCCTATTTTATCCATCCATCTTTTTCTTGATGACTCAGCTTATTTGGATGACTTGGCTTATTCTGGATGACTCGGCTAAAAAAAAGTCTAGATCTGGAGTCTGAAATTGAACTCGTTCAATTTCCAAAATCTAGTTATTATTCCGAGCAAGTTTTCTCAATAACCGTAAGGTTTTCAGTAAAGTCAGTCATTTGGTCAATTTAGGTCCAGAATCTAGTTCCTCGGAAATTGGGTCAAATTTTTATCTAGGTCAAAGGTCGAGAACTAGGTCAAATCCAGTACTTTGTCACTTTTTTCGATTTTCTCGGTCGTCCTTCAATATTTTCGATCCAGGTTTTT